AACCCAAACGAAGACATAACCTCATACTACCTACCGCATCACTGCGTCTTCAAGAATCCCAATCAGCCATCGAAGATTCGAGTGGTATTTGATGCCTCGTGCAAGAGCGATGTCGGCACGTCTCTAAACGACATGTTATGGGTTGGCCCTGTCATTCAAGAAGATTGATGTCCATCGTGATGCGATTCCGTACGTATTCGTATGTGCTTGTCGCGGACATCGTCAAGATGTATCGTCAAGTATTGGTACACCCTTCGCAAACATCACTACAGAGAATACTGTGGCGAGCTGATCCAATGGCAGACGTCGAAACATATGAATTGGCCACGGTCACCTATGGTACGTCATCAGCTTCATTTCTGGTAACTAGGTGCTTGAAACATCTGGCGGAACAATACTCAACAAAGTACCCATTGGCTTCAAAATGTATCAGCCGTGACTTTTACGTCGATGACCTTTTGACCGGAGCGGACACTATCCAAGAAGCGGCATCCATACAAGATCAGACAATTCAACTACTGAAAAAGGGACAATTTGAGCTTGACAAGTGGGCTTCAAACTGTCCACAATTGTTAGATTCATTAAACAATAAAAACTGCGAACCAATAAACATTGACGACGGCGTTAGCACACACATCCTAGGCATACAATGGAATCAAGCATCCGACACGTTTCATTTTTCTTACGAACCCGGGGAGGGTCACGCTAAGATATCTAAGCGCACTATATTGTCAGACATCTCCAAGCTGTTTGATCCACTAGGACTTCTTGGTCCAACCATTGTCATTGCCAAACTAATTTTGCAGGAATTGTGGCGTTCTGACGTCCAGTGGGATGAGTCTGTACCGCAAACCATACACTCTCGCTGGTTAACATTTAAATCGCAGCTTGAGGAGTTAAACCAACTGTCCATCCAACGATGCGTTAAACCTGGTACGAGCCGACAACACATGCAGATACACGGCTTCTGTGACGCAAGCAAGGACGCCTACGGAGCCTGTGTATACATTCGAACGGAGACCAGCCCCAATGACTATCTCGTTGCATTACTCTGCTCTAAATCCCGGGTCGCTCCCATTAAAACATTATCAATACCTCGACTGGAATTATCCGCAGCACTGCTACTGGCGCGGTTAATCGGGAAGATCAAAATCTCAATAGACATTTCGGATGTTCCAACATTTCTGTGGTCCGACTCAACTATAGCCCTTAATTGGATCGGCTCATCATCTCGTAAATGGTCCGTTTTTGTGGCAAACCGAATAGGCGAGATACAACGACTAACTCATCCTGAAAACTGGTGTCACGTACCATCTACCCAGAATCCAGCCGACATATTATCCAGAGTTTTAAATCCGCGCGAATTGATCAATGCAGGTATGTGGTGGAGCGGTCCCAGCTTCTTACAGAATGACGACAGTCACTGGCCCGACAACAATTATCCCAGCTTGGACGACGACGCACCGGAACTGCGGAAAACCTGTACTGCCGTAACTACACTTAATTGCAATATTGTAAACTCACTGCTGGACAGGAGCTCTAACTTGGACAAGGTCTGCCGCATCTTAGCGTATGGTCTAAGATTTCTGAAAGTGCACGCAAGACCGTCCACGACTTTCGTATCGCACGAAGAAATAAACAAGGCCTTACATCTAATGGTTAAATTGGTACAACGGCAATCCTTCTCCGAAGAGTACAAGGAGCTAAGCAGGGGCAAGCTAGTCCATTCGTCAAGCAGAATTCAATCGCTAAATCCGTACGTAGATGACGAGGGAATAATCAGGGTTGGGGGCCGCCTGAAGAACGCCAACTTACCATTTGACGCGTGCCACCCAATTCTCCTACCCAAGGATCACGAGCTGACCAAACGAATTATTATTCAACAGCACCTTCGCTACATGCACGCAGGAGTGCAAGCTACCATGGCCGCAGTCAGGGAACTTTTTTGGCCCTTGTCCTTGCGATCAACGACGCGTAAAATCCTTTTGAATTGCATTAAATGCTTCAAAGTCAAACCAGTCATTTCCGAAGCATTAATGGGATCATTGCCCCCGGGTCGTGTAACAGCCTCCAAACCATTCTCGCATTGTGGTGTAGACTATGCTGGACCGCTTGTCTTACGGGAAGGCAAACGGCGAAATGCCAGGAATCATAAGGCCTACGTGGCCATTTTCGTTTGTTTCGCAACCAAGGCGGTACACGTGGAGCTCGTGAGCGATTTGACTTCTGAAGCGTTCATAGCTGCGTTCAAACGCTTCATATCACGTAGGGGCAAACCCTCTCACATCTATTCCGATAATGGCACAACATTCGTTGGTGCACAAAATCAATTGAAGGAGCTGTTTGATTTCCTAAATAAGGAACAAGTATTGGACGATGTCAAACAGTTCTTTCGACTTCAGCAAACGTCATGGACGTTCATACCCTCTAATGCTCCTCACTGCGGTGGCTTATGGGAAGCCGCGGTGAAGTCCGTAAAGTATCATTTGACCCGCGTCGTCGGTAGAGCTCACTTAACTTTCGAAGAGATGCAAACAATACTCTGCGAAATCGAGTCAATCCTGAATTCACGACCACTCACCGCCTTGAGTGCAGATCCAAATGATTTATCGTATTTAAGCCCAGGTCACTTTCTGATTGGTACCACTATGAACAGTCTCCCTTCGCATGACTTGACTGATATACAGGAAAACCGCTTAATACGCTGGCAGCGGATTGAGCAACTTAAGCAGCATTTTTGGCGCCGTTGGAGCCATGAATATCTTCACTTGTTGCAAGCGCGTCCCAAATAGAGAATGGACAAGGGCACTCAACTAAAACCCGGGCAACTTGTCCTTGTAAGGCAGCAAGATTTGCCACCGTTACATTGGTTACTGGGTCGGGTAATAGAAGTGCATGTGGGCGTGGATGGTGTCGTGCGTACGGCTACCGTGAAAACCGCTAAAACCTCTCTCACGAGGCCCTTGTCCAGGCTCGCAATATTGCCACTTGAAACGCCTTGAATCTATAATACTCATTCGCGTGAAATCCTTGTTTCTTAGATATTCTTGCGTTACATTTTCATATTGTATACATGCGTTACATTCTTATACTGTATTCTAGCGTTACATTTTCATATTGTGTGGCGACCCACGCCACATCAGGCGCGCGGGCACCACACGTCACGGCGCCGCTCCTGCGAGCGCCGACGACACGGCGCGCGGCGGTAGTACGGCGCGCCGCCGATAGGTGGACACAGCGCCGGCAGCATACTCGCATTCAGAATTCAGTGGCGATGGGTATATTAAGACCTCCGGCGGCGACGAAAATTCAGTAAGTGTTTCTCGTCGGAGACGATTCGCGAGTGCCAGTAGTCGTCTGTAGTACTGATCGGGTGAGCCCTACGGGCCTCGATTATTTTTCCCCAAGCGAGCCCCTCGGGCCTTGGATTCTCACCGAGCGAGCCTCCATAGGCCTCGGTCTCATCACCGAGCGAGCCTCCTTAGGCCTCGGTCTCATCACCGAGCGAGCCTCCTTAGGCCTCGGTCTCATCACCGAGCGAGCCTCCTTAGGCCTCGGTCTCATCGCCGAGCGAGCCTTCTTAGGCCTTGGTCTCATCGCCGAGCGAGCCTCCTTAGGCCTCGGTATCATCACCGAGCGAGCCTCCTTAGGCCTCGGTCTCATCGCCGAGCGAGCCTCCTTAGGCCTCGGTATCATCACCGAGCGAGCCCCTAGGGCCTCGGCATCTTCACTCGAGCGAGCTTCTGCAAGGCCTCGACCACTTCCTCGAGCGAGCTCCACGGGCCTCGACTTCTACCCAAGAGAGCTCCTGAGGGCCTTGGCACCACGAGGGGATCCTGCCACGAGTCCGTCGACGAACCCGAGACGTGCCACCACCAGGACATCCACCAGGAAGCCAAGGGCTCGTCCCGCCTCTGCCACGGTCGCATCCCGGACCACCATCGGATCCACGACTGCTCCAGAGGCCTAGACCTCCACCGATACTGACACAGTTACCTCCCGTGGAGACTACTGCCGATTGCAGAGAACCCAAGTCCACTGCAGTATTGCCACCGTCGACGCAGCCACTCAGACAACCCCGCAGGGTTCGGCCGAATCCCAGGTCGTACCTGTGGACGTGGCACAACCATCCTCACCGAGAGGAACGCAAAGACCGGCAGGCCTAGACAGCCCCGAAGAAGACTCGCAACCGCTCTTCTCAGGGCGACACACGCAAACCGCCCTTTTCAGGGCGACCAAAAGCATAAAACGAGAGATCACCTCTGATTCTCCGCAAGGAACACTACATATTGTATTTTTGAGTTACATTTTTACATTGTATTCTCGCGTTATTTTTTCTTTTCATTGTTTAAGCAAAATGGGATTAGTCCCCTGCGTCACACTGTTAGTTACAACCCTCAGTGTTCATTTGCATTGTCCGTTTCATTTTTTCTCTTTTTGAGCAATGCAATCCTCATTGAAAGTAAGACCTTCCAAGGCGGGCGGCGTTGTTCGGTACATAAATCGGTTGCGCCGATTCGTTCGCGTTCGTCCACATTCGTCGGTGGTCGCGTCCCGTGAGGACCGTGATTGGCGCGCGCGGTGTATCCTTGCGCGCGGAAAAATAGGGGCCTGCGGCCGAAGCACGCCAGTAGAGTAGTATAGTCGTCGTCGTTAGCAAGAGAGAGTGTGTGCGTGCCCAAACCGGCACGGCCGAGATAAGCTAAGTTTCGGAAGTGAACAGTAACCACGGTGTTGTCAGAAAACTAGAAATAAAGCCAACTAAGAGGAATACGAGTTTCTTCGCTTACGCCTTTCCCGAAATCTTCCGGTGAACCGGCGTGACGGGCACATGCCCGGCGTGTCATTACGCCACAGTGCTTTTCTGCATGTAAACATATTTATTTTAATGAGATGGGAAATTTAGTGCCACAGTTTGGTGAGTAAATTCTATGTATATTATATTTTATAATATACATAATGTATTATTTATAAATTTCTTGAGAAATAAAATATAATTTTAAAATATTACATATGTAACATGTGTGGAATAATCATATGAAATGAGATATATACTAGCTAAAGCATTTAATCTTCAAAATAAAACTAAATTAATAAAAAACTATGCGATATGTTAACTTATTGGGTATCCTTTTCTCTTGATAAAGTGTGCGTGTGTGCACGCGCGCGCTATGGATTGAAACGAGAGAGGGGATGCATAAAAAAAATGTAAATTAATTTAAAGTAAAGTAAAGTAAAGTAAATTGTGCAAATTAGAAATTTGCACATGGCTTCTTCATAGAGGAAGATTTAGGAGTGAAATCTAATTTTTTCAATTATTCTTGAAAGTGTGCAAATTAGAAATTTGCACATTGCTTCCTCATAGAGGAAGGTTTAGGAGCGAAATCTAATTTTGCACGATGTTTCTTGAAAGTGTGCAAATTAGAAATTTGCACCTTGCTTCCTCATCATTGAAGCGTGCAAATTGGAAATTTGCAAATTTCTTCCTCATCATTAAAGTAGGCAAATTAGATGTTTGCACATTGCTTCAATGGTTATGGCTTCCTCATAGATAAAGCTTTATGAGAGAAATCTAACTTTACTACGATGTTTCTTGAAAGTATTCAAATTATTCTTATTTTGCTCTTCAAGCTTCCTCTATCAGAAAGCCATGTGCCAATTTCTAATTTGCACAATTTACTTAAATTTAATTTTTTCTAATTACAAATTTGCACATTGCTTCCATTGTTATGGCTTCCTCATAGAGGAAGCTTGAAGAGCAAAATAAGAATAATTTGAATACTTTCAAGAAACATCGTAGTAAAGTTAGATTTCTCTCATAAAGCTTCATCTATGAGGAAGCCATAACCATTGAAGCAATGTGCAAATATCTAATTTGCCTACTTTAATGATGAGGAAGAAATTTGCAAATTTCCAATTTGCACGCTTCAATGATGAGGAAGCAAGGTGCAAATTTCTAATTTGCACACTTTCAAGAAACATCGTGCAAAATTAGATTTCGCTCCTAAACCTTCCTCTATGAGGAAGCAATGTGCAAATTTCTAATTTGCACACTTTCAAGAATAATTGAAAAAAATTAGATTTCACTCCTAAATCTTCCTCTATGAAGAAGCCATGTGCAAATTTCTAATTTGCACAATTTACTTTACTTTACTTTACTTTAAATTAATTTACATTTTTTCTAATTATATATTATATTCTTCTTCAGTTTTTCAATCCAAATTTCATATATATTTCATTAAAATATGATTAATTACTTCTTCAGTCATATACTTTTGAAATTTTTGGAAATCATAATTAAACAAAATTTGCGATAGTTACAGCAACCACAGACACTTCTTAAAATATGATGAGGAAGCAAATTGCAAATTTCCAATTTGCACCTTCCCCCCCCCCCGTTTTAATAATGTCCGTGCGTGCGTGCGCGCGCGCGTGTGTGTGTGTTTGTGTTGTATATATGACGCAACTAAATGGAACATCAGGGATGGTGTTCAAATCCTATCTTGGAAATTTTAAAATTTATTCAGGGATAATGCTAGAAGTACCGTAACTTTGAAACCTCATAACTCAAAAAGTACTTAACGCAAACATACTTTATTATATCGTTTTGGAAAGCTATTGAAATAAGCTACAATAATATGTAATGAAAAAGGAGGATTACATATAAAAATTTCAAGGTGATCTTTAGCTAACTTTGATAGAGCTATTCAAGATCATACTGATATTTGTTAGCGGACGTTTACAACGGTCCGGTCGACCCGCAGCTTATGGTGGCGCCTCTGGCGCTCTCCTTCATGCCCTCCCCCCTTTTTGCTTTCTCTATCCTGTATTATTCGTGTTCTTCTACCCCACGAGTGTAAAAAACGTTACTCGGGGTCTCGTGTATTCTTCGAGCCATTAATAAAGACGGGGTTCTGCTTTCATCTGTGAGTTTCTCTGCTGGTTCGCATCCACCCACCTCTAACAGGTTATGGGCCCAGAACGCAACCGCTGCGTGAATCGTAACTCGGGACAGGAAACGCAGAGTCACACGGCCTTTGGAGGTTAGTCGCTGAAACGCGATCAATCCGAGGGCGCGCTGAAAGTGAGTCGGTCCGCGGGAACTGTCGTGAAATCGCTCGTCGGGGTGAACTAAAAGACGTAACCTGCGTGTTCGGACAATACCACGCACGGGGTACAAGAATCGTCGACGAATTTCGCGCGCGGTCGCAGACAATAAGTAACACGATGAGTGTAAACACGTTGCGAATCGAGGCGCTCGGGCGCGATAAGTACGACACGTGGAAACTTCAGATGCGCGCGACACTGGTCAAGAACGATGCTTGGGGATACGTGAGCGGGACAATTGTAAAGCCGGAATCCGGTGATGCGGCAGCAGTGCAGGATTGGGTCACGAAGGACGAAAAGGCAAAGTCAGACCTGATATTGTCTATCAGCGCAAACCAATTAAAGCTGATCAAGAACTGTGCGACTGCTCGTGAATTGTGGACCAAATTGGAGGACACGTTCCAGTCGAAGGGGCCCGCTCGCAAGGCTACGCTGCTGAAACGCCTTACGCTGCAGAAGATGAACGAGGGTGGCGATGTCCGCGAGCACCTCCAGGAATTCTTCGACGCAGTCGACAAACTGTCGGAGTTGGACGTGACGATCCACCCGGATCAACTCGCTATTATGTTACTTTATAGCTTACCGTCGAATTATGAAAATTTCAGGGTCGCAATCGAGAGCAGAGACGAACTTCCATCGCCGAAAAATCTGCGTACCAAGATTGTGGAGGAATATGACGCTAGGC